CAAACTTGGTCAAGTCTCTCGCACATGCTAAAACTTGGTCAGGCCGCCCGCAATTTCTAAACCTTGGTCAAGTCTCTTGCGAATGCTAAAACTTGGTCATATCTCTTGCAAATGCAAAAACTTGGTCAAGTCTCTTGCAAATGTCTGCAAATGCTAAAACTTTGTCAGGCCTCTCGCAAATTCTAAACCTTGGTCACGTCTCTTGCAAGTGCTAGGCTCTTACGAGTGGTAAAGCCTGAGCAAAGCTCTTACAAGTGCTGAAGCCTCGGCAAGGTTTTGCAAATGCTAAAACTTGATCAAGTCTCTTGCAAGTGCTAGACTCTGTCAAGACCAATCTTGGTCAAGTCTCTCGCAAATGCTAAAACTTGGTTTTCTTTCACATGCAAAAAACAGGTCAAGTCTTTTGCAAATTCAAAATTGGTCAAGTCTCTTGCCAGTGCGAAAACTTGGTCAAGTCAAGTCTTTGGAAGTGCTTACAAGTTCTAAAGCCGGAGCTAGACAGACCACATGCTAAAACAAAAACTTCAAAGTGATCACAGCTGAGGCCACCTCACACAGAAGCCGCTTCCTGCACTACATTTATACTATAAGCTTGGCAGTTCTGAGGCCACAAGCCCGATGCTGCAAGAGGTTCGCGCAAACAGGCCAGATCCTGCGGAGACCACATCTGAGGCCACCTCACACAGAAGCTGCTTCCCATATTGCATTTGTATACTGCTTGCCAGTTCTGAGGCCACGAGCCGGATTCTATGAGAGGGTCGCCGCATCCTGCGAGAGGATCGCGCAAGCATGGACAGAATTCGCAACACGTTTGGGCACTCGACAGGCCGGATCCTGCGAGAGGGTCGCCTGAGCACCGGTTTCCGCTGCATGTTTGGGCAGTCGACAGGCCGAATCCTGCGAGAGGGTCGCGCAAGCATGGGCTGAATTCGCATGTTGCTACACGTTCGAGCGTTTCGGCACTCGACAGGCCGAATCCTCTGAGAGGGTTGCTTCTCGCGTACTCTCGCTTGGTCCGCCCCGGCCTTACAGATAATTGAAAGATTTGAGATGACTTGCTCAAGTCTTTCGCAAATGCTGAAACTTGGTCAAGACTCTGGCAAATGCCAAAGCTTGGTCTAGTCTCATGCAAGTGCTAGTCTTTGTCACGACCAAATTTGGTCAAGCCTCTCGCAAATGCTAAAACTTGGCAAAGTCTCTCGCAAATGCCAAAACTTGGTGAAGTCTCTTGCAAAGGCTAAAGGCTAAAGCTTGGTCAAAAAAGCTGATCAGGTCTCTTGCAAGTGTCAGACTCTTAGAAGTGCTAAAGCCTGAGCTCAACAGACCAAGTGCTGAAGAATGATCAAATCTCTTGCAAGCGCTAGACTCTTATAAGTGCTGAGGCCTCAGCTAGACAGACCAAGTGCATTTAGGAAGAGCCCTTCGGCCAAGTCTTCCGGGAAAAGCACCGTAACATCTGGGTGGCTGTTTGTAAGTTGCAAAAGTTGCTTTTGTGTATATGTTTCTTGTGAAATTTGAAACTGATGTGTTTAAAATTGTTTACAACTTAAAGTGAAAAGTTTGGGAGCTCCAGTGGTTTAATTACGTCTTCGACTCACATCATTGTCAGCTGTCAGTTTCACAATCGTTGCCACCTTTGGGTTCAAAACTGTTCTTCCATTGTTTCCTGCTGCTGGAAACTTAGAACTTTGGAGTGGTAGGAGTCCCATAATTGATGATTCACACTGCCTGCCCAGGATGATTTGATGGCTGGAGGACTGACTGATTGGCACTGGGCAGGGATTGAGCTTGATTGTCACTTGTCACTCTGCAGCCACAGTCAGTTCAAACCATTGTAACTCACTGTCACTGTCATGGATCAGTCTCAGAATTTGGCGGGGACTGTGGGAGATTTGACTGTGGCCTTGTTAGCATTTCAGGTGTCATTGTCATTTCAGGACAATTCACACTTCAGTGTCATCCACTGATTTCCTGACTCATCAGGTGACCTATGTTGCCTTGACCCACAAGATTCGCATCCAGGTAATCAAGCAGGGAGATGATGGTGTGGGTGATCATCAGGCAGCATCACAGACTTCCCAATCCTCAACATATGACATGGGCGAGTTGCGGAGTGAAGATGAGCTTCAAGTGAAGAAGAGGCCAGCGGGCAAGGTAGATGTTAGGTACCCAAAAAGGCGGGCACCAAACAAGTGAAGCTCGTGCTCCTCTTGGTGAAAAACAAGTATGTTCATCATTGTCGTGCCAATTAGTTTAGTCGTGATGATGTGCAAGTTTAGTGTGGTTTGATCAATGTGACACTGATCCGTCTCAAATCAAAACCAAATCATTGTCACTGATATATTATTTGCTGCAGGACACCCATCAGCATCCAGGCAGGATCAGGTGAGGATTGCATTTTTCAAATCACTTATGAATAATAACTACTCGTGCTGTTTAAGGTGTCATGTTTACCAAGGTGTCATGTTTACCCGTGAAGCTCGTGTGCGCCAGGTGCAGAGCTACAGTGCATCAGCTGCCTTCTGAGTGTCCAGCAGGCCTATTTGTGTTTGTTCTTCATCATCAATGGAACAAACAATGGGTAATGAAGTGCATAATACCATTCATCAATGGTGGACTAAGAAGCCTGCTGGCTCCATGTTGGACCTGGGTCAAAATACCTTGGACAGGCTCTTCGAGATCTGTGGTAAATCAGAGGTGCTTTCTTTGAACCATGGCTACGCTGATTTCAAACCATCACAAATTGATTGCTAACACCGTTCACTGGAATAATGGCGGGGTGGTTTTGATGATTACGTGTTTATGTTGCGACAAGGATCCAACTGGTGATGTGGCCGCTCCCCCCCGCAAAGCCGCAAGAGGTCATGGAGGATGTGGAGGAGGAGGAGGATCGGGAGGAGGATCATTGTCAGGCAGAGGAGCGTGATCCTGTTTTGCCTCGTGGTTTCAATGACAAGCGGTGTTGTGACAAAGTCATCCAGCACAAGTCAAAGTCATGATTCAACTTTACAGTTGCAGCTCATTTGATTCCCCAATTCACTCTGGCAGGATCACAACATCGCGGACAACATCCAGCACCTCTTCTTCCAGCTGTATGGCAGGTGCCCACTGAGAGCTGTTCGAATTTTGATACTTTCCAATTTGCTCACAGGATCGCTAATCTGAATTGAATATTTCATGAATTTGCAAGTCAGTCTGGTTGCTTCAAACCTCAGGAACAAGCTTGTGTCGGCCGACGTTATCAAGACTATGAAAGCAAAAAATGGCTGATGCTCACCGCCATTAGTCGATTGCCTTCATGAAGTTCAATTGCCTTTGTCATTGTCATTGATGAGTACTCATTGGCATTGTCTGTTTGTTTCAGTTTGTGACTGTCTTGCTTGATGCCATAGTTCAATTACCAAGGTGAGGATGTGCAGATGTTGGATGCCAGGGCCAAGGAGGTTTCGCCACAGAGGACGGGCCAAGTGAAAGACAGCATGATCATGTGAAATACATGGGTGTTGCCAGGTTGCATCATTGTCATTGGCCATCCTTGTAATTTTTGCCATCGACGACGACTCAGGCCTGGCCCTTTGTTTTGGTCTGTGCCTGATTGAACATTGGGCACAGTCACTCAAATTGTACTTAAACTTTAGACCTGTGATTTCACACCAAGGCTGGAATTTCACTTGATGTTAGATGAGTTTGTCTTTCACAAAATGTTCTTTTATTACTCACTGTCTACTAACTAAGTTCTTCTTATGTTGAATTCTGTCACTCTTGCGCCTGCTCTCAGGTGTTTGGTGCCATGTCCCGCAACCTGCTGATCTGATGGTTTGTTGCTCAGCACGCCAGCCCTTTAGTTGGTCATTGTTCTCGTGACTTCAGCCCGGGTATTGTTTGGCAGTCGGGCTCAAGACACGCCTGACATCCAAGCAGATGCAACATCATCATTGAAAAAAACATTGTCAAATCATTGTCATTGTCATGACACCATGACACACTGACATATCACTGCTAGACATTGAGTGGCATTGCTTTGGCGAAGCTGCCTCGGGCGATTGTGTCCACTGCGGCGGTCTTCAGTCGGAGTGCGCAGCAAAGCTTGTACCTGGCCTGGTTGGTGGATCGGAAGGGGACTTTGGATTTGGTGTAACTTGTCAGAGTCGTCATTGTCAGAAGTTTATTTTACTGTGTTTTACTGTGTTTTGTTGCTTTATTTTACTTGCAGTCATATTTGCACTCATGCCTTGTTGCCTCACTGAGGGATCGATTCAACAAGCAGCAGCACTTGATCCAACGTCCAGATGGCTGGATGTACAATGCTGTCCGAAACCACATTGGACAGTCACTTGGTATCTGTTTAGTCATAATCATTGTCATTGGTCATTGTCATGGTCCATGAGTGGTTTGACAAATGTTTGACTGACAACTGACAACTGAGGCTTAACAGCGCTGCAGGATTT